AAAGGGGAAAAGAAGTTTAAAGGAACGCTCAATCACTTTGCGCATGGCAATCTAGTGGTCTAATCTTTTTTTTTTTTTTTTTTTTTTTTTTTTTTGTGAAATAAGTAGGCGGCACTGCCGCGGCAGTGTGGTGTCGAGTTTTGAATTCGCAGGAATAACAGGGCATTGCGGGTCTGGGCCGAGGGGAGTTAAAAACTGCAAGAAAAGAACGGCTTTGTGCACTTCTAGTTCTACGCCATTTATGCCAATTTGTGAACCGGCAGGCCGTGGGAAACAAATTCCCACGAGTTTTTGTTTTCTTTCCCATGAGTATTTGTTTTCTTTCCAGTTGCCGGGAACTGCAGTGTGCAGTTATTTCTGCAAATTCTTAACTCTGCACCGGCCACAGGCACAGTTTTGTCAAACAAACAAACAAACAAACAAACAAACAAACAAACAAACAAACAAACAAAACAAACAAACAAACAAACAAACAAACAAACAAACAAACAAACAAACAAACAAACAAATCTGATGCTCTCAGCCAGATAGGAATGAGGAACTTGTTTTTTTGAAATTTTTCTTCTTTTTTTTTCCATTTCGGAAAGGAATGTGTAACTTAATAACTTAGCCTGTGTGGCCAAATGGTACACCCATGAGCTGTTGATGTAGAGACCTGAGTTTGAGTCCTGGGTTAGAATCCTGGGGCCATCTGTGAGGACCGGTCAGGTCGATCACGATACCGCAAGGCTGTCCTCCTTGAGCATTTGCAGTAGAACCTATGTTCCCAGGCTGAGCATGAAGGGCGGTCTACTACCGTCTTCACCCGAATAGAACGCCCCGTCATTATTGCGGCTGTCTTTGCTACGACTTTCGGTCCAGATGCATCGATAATGACCGATCGTACAATTCCGATGAAGACGGTAGTGGCCTGGAAGACGGCTAGCCTGCTAGGGTAATCGCCCAAGCAGACTATAGCGGCTGGCATAACGAAAGCCTATTGCCATAAACAGCACAAGGAGCCTTATCTTCGGCAATCGACATAAATAACTATACGGCTGGCATAACAAAAGTCAATCGGATAAGTTGATATAACTGTACCAACAAAATCTCATTCAAGTTGGGAAAGTGTTTTTTTTTTTTTTTTTAACCCAACTAACTCCAGGCCTCTCCCAAAGAGCTAATTCCCCTCCTTCCCACAAAAAGAGAGAGAGAGAGAG